TAGTTATGTTAACTGAATTTTTCAATACAGTGTTGGTGAAATTTTAAGCGCATTCTCATTTTTCTGTTATGTCTCAGGTGTTTGCTGACTTGCACTTTGGAGAGTGCCTGCTTATCTGGCATGTCCATAACAGAACTGTGTGTTCCCTCTCTGATGTACTGGGTAGGAGTTTCCCCCCTTTGGACAGTTCAGAACAGTGAGCTTTATCATAGATTAATATCCATAGCTACATAGTGATTTTAAATCCAGAATAAACCCAGAGTAGGGGAAAGAAGAAAAGGCTCCCTTATGAAAAAAGGGAAACTTTCTCAGTGTGTCTTGCAGATTTTCAGGAATTGTCTCATCTTATTGCCTTTTTTCATATAAGACTAGGTCAAGGAAGAAGGTTTTTTAAAAATTTGTTTTGTTTGTTTATAAAAATCTGTACCCCAAAGGACAAACTGAAATTGATGGGAGAAACTTGAAGAGTTCAGTTTATTTCTTTATTGTTCCAGATTTATCTGCCTTTGAAAGTTGAAAGGTGTTTCATTGTTTTTTATCTTTGTGTTTTAATTACTCGTGCTACCCCTTTTCATATACTCCATACTACTCGGAACTATTGTCTGAGATTACAATTACTTGCATCCCTTTAAGTGTTAGAACCAAATGTGAAGACCAAATTCCTTTATCAAATGAGACTTATAAAGTTAGCAAATCAACTTCTAAGTTCTCTATTGAATTTTAGCAAGCTGTTGTTTCCAAGGGGTAAGGTTAGAACCAAAAGAAATGGCTTTTTAAAGATTTATTTATTTGATAGAGTGATGTGAACAAGTAGGAGTGGCCGGGGCCGGGGGGGAGGTGGTGTGGGTAGTGAGAAGGGCAGAGATTGTCAAGCAAACTCCTGGCTGAGCACAGCCTAATGACCCTGAGATTATGACCTAAGCTAAGATCAAGAGTCAGACACTTAACTGACTGAGCTGTTTTTTGATTGACAATATTTTCATTTAAAAATGTAGTGGATCCCCAATTGATAAGAATTAAAAAGAGAGGCAATGCCTTCGGATGTGGGGTAGTCATGCTTTTTCAGAACTTTTAGTTTTTTTGTGGTATTTGTGCTTGCGTGCACACGCACACACACACACACTCTCACTCTCCCTCTTAAATGATATGAAAGTAAGTAGCAGATGTCATGACATCTCACACCTAAATAATTCAGGATGTGTCTCCTAAGAATGAGGATATTATTCTACATAGGACCACAATACTGTATCACACTCTAGAAAGTTAACATTATAAAGTAATAATATCTAATGTACAGTCTCATTTTTTTAAGTCTTTCTAATTCTCCCCAAAATATGCTTTTATAACACTTTCATCCCCCTAATCCAGTTTCTAGCCACAGATCACACATCTTATTTGGTTGTATCTCTTTAGTCTTGTGTGTGTGTGTATGTTAGTCACCATAAAACACATCATTAGTTTTTGATGCAGTGTTCCAAGATTCATTGTTTTTGCACCACACCCAGTGCTCTGTACAATATGGGCCCTCTGCAGTACCCACCACCAGGCTCACCCATTCCCCCACCTCCCTCCCCTCTAAAACCCTCAGATTGTTTCTCAGAGTCCATAGTCTCTCATGGTTCATCTCCTCCTCCAATTTGCCCCAGTTCACTTTTCCTTTCCTTCTCCTAATGGTTGTTATATCTCTTTAGTCTCCTTTAAACTGGGACAGGCCCCCTATCTTTTTCTGAATGAGGGATATGTTCATAACGTTAACATTTTGAGGCATCTAGTCCAGTGGTCTTATATGATATTCCACAACTGATTTTGTATTTTTCTTCTTCTTTTTTTTTTTTTAAAGATTTTATTTATTTATTTGGCAGAGAGAGACACAGAGGAGAGGGAACACAAAGCAGGGGAAGAGGGAGCGGGAGAGGGAGAAGGCAGGCTTCCTGCTGAGCAGGGAGCCTTATGTGGAACTCTGTCCCAGGACCCTGGGATCATGACCTGAGCCGAAGGCAGCCACTTAACGACTGAGCCATCCAGGCACCCTTGTCTTTTCTTCTTGATTAGTTTCAGATTAAATACCTTTGGTAGGAATACTACATGTATAGTTCCCATTCCATCACATCACATCACAATGTAGTTCCCATTCCATCCAGGAGGCACAGTGATCGCCGTGTTTTATTTTTTGGTAATGCACCATTAGGTCATGATGCAGACTGCTTGTGCTAAGGAGTATCTGTCAGATCATTGGAAAGTGCTTTTTCTTTATTTAGTAATCTGAAGGTTCATGCTTTGAGACAGGATGGCTGTCCTATTCCCTATAGCCTTACCTGTTTATTTTAATTTTCTCATTGATTTTTCTTTTTTAAGATTTTATTTATTTGACAGAGATCACAAGTAGGCAGAGAGGCAGGCAGAGACAGAGAGAGTGGGGAGCAGGCTCCCTCCCGAGCAGAGAGCCCGATGTGGGGCTCGATCCCAGGACCCTGGGATCATGACCTGAGCCGAAGGCAGAGGCTTTAACCCACTGAGCCACCCAGGAGCCCCTCTCATTGATTTAATTCAAGATTTGCCAGGGGTTTATTGATGGATGTCAATTTATCTCTGAAGGCCAGGGCATTTTTTTATGTCAATGGATTTTTCCAGGAGTAAGATTCATGACTCCCCAAATATTTAAAAGATCTTTTCCTCTCTGTTTTGGAGGTGCCTTCTACAAGTCCCCATGCATTAGAGAAGTTTGTCATAAGCAGCTGGTTACTAAGCTGGGAACCAACCCTGTTCATGTAATTTTCCTAATTATCTAGCCTAGCATCACATACAGCTGGGTACGTAATTTCTGTTGTTGTTTGTTTGAGAATGCTTTGTTCTGGCCTCTCCCTTATCCCGAGCCAAGCATTTGGATCTTTTGTGTTTGGTATAAACTGTACTAGAAAATAAAGCAAAGGGGCTTAGCCCCTGGTCTTTGGTGTTCTCTTTGAAGATTTTTGGATACAGCAGAATTTGATTTGTCTTTGTTGACACTGAAGTAAATTTAGGTCAGTTGGAAATGAGTGAAAACACTGCAGTGTGTTATTATTATATATTGACTTTAGGGAGCTTTGTCCATTATTATTAGCCTAATAGGGAATAGCTGTAGCGTGATTAATCCTTGACTTTCCCCGCTCAACCAGGAGAGCCGTGTGGAATCAATCATGGCGGCAGCCAGTGAGGTGTGTTTTGTTGCATCTATTCATTGGCCCGTGGGTTTGGTTTGCCTTCATGAAAAGTATCTGTCATTTGGGTGACTGATAGTAAGAGCTAACATTGGAATGTATACTTCTAAAAATACACATTATACCATTTAATCCAGAAGATCACTCTGTGAAAGTAGATGTTATTATTCCAATCACACAGGTGGGGAGAAAGGCTTAGAGAAGTTAAAGATAGCCAACATCAAACAGCTTGTAAGGGGCTCCAAATTCCTTGCTTGTTTTGTTGTAGCAGTCTGAAAGGTAGAGGCAGTCTAGGGGATCTACCTATGAACAAAGCATGGCCCTTGCTCTCAAGGACCTTTTCTTTTTATTTTTTTCAAGATTTTATTTATTTATTTTTGGGGGGAGGAGATTGGGAAAGGGAGAGGGAGAGAGCACAAGCAGCAGGGGTAGAAAGGGAGAGGGAGAAGCAGGCTCCCTGCTGATCAGAGAGCCCAACGCAGGGCTCGATCCCAGGACCTGAGCCAAAAGCAGACGCTTAACTATCTGAGCCACCCAGGCACCCCTCAAGAATCTTTCAAATCTAGCAAATGTGTCTTCTTAGAAATATATGGTAGCACATCGAGGGAAGAGTTCAGGAATCACAGAAAAGTGCAGACAACTTCCATGCATAGAGTCAAGATTGGCATGATGGAGGAAGAATTTGAGAGGGAGGAGTATTTGGAGGGGAAGAAAAAGAGTGACCAAAGCATGGAGATGGGAAAACAGAGGGTTTGTTATGGCTGAGGAATTGCTCTGGTTTGACTAGAGCATGAACTGCATGAAAGAAAGTAAAAGAAAGCAGTGAAAGCTAGACCTGTGAAAGCCAGGTTAGGATCAGATTGTGAAGGGCCTCGAATGCCATGCCAGAGAAGAACCTCCTTCTAGATAGATATTTGAGCAGGAGATGAAAAATGTATCTCTAAAGGGGACCCAATAATAAGCATGACAAATGCTTACATTTTTATGTAAGTTATGATTCTGTACTAATCTCTTCACATACATTATCTCATTAACGCCTCACAGGAACTCCAGGAACAATGTACTCTCTCCCTTTTACAGATGCGAATTGAGGCGCAGCCAGATTAAGTTTGCCGGTGTCAGATACTGCTGGAGCTGAGACGTGGACTGGGGTCCCTCAGCTTCTAACACATGTTCTGTTTACCACTATGACATTTTGCCATTTAAAACAAAAAAAGGTTTATTTATTTATTTTAGAGAGAGGGCACGCGATAGGGTGAGTGTGCATGGGTGGCGGGAGGAGCAGGGGGAGAGGATTGTCAAGGAGATTTCCATCTGAGTGCTTGGGGCTCCATCCCAGGACCCATGAGATCACAACCTGAGCTGAAATCAACAGTCAGAAGTTTAATGACTGAGCCACCAGGCACCCCTGTATATTGTCATTTTAAAAATCATATCATCTAATGGGTTCTTAATTCTCTGTCAAGAATATCACTATAGGAAAAAAGACATTTTCAAAGTTCTGAAAGTACTGCCTGTGGGTGTGTAATCACGTTAAGGAATATAATGACTACCAAACCTGACTTGTACTGCTCTCTAATTTGACACCAGTGCTGGACGGGAAATTGAAGAGTTGAATGATATTTTATGTACATGCCTCTTGACATCAGTACATGCTCATGGCAGATGTTTTTGTTTTCATGTTCAATGTTTAACCTTATTGGCCCTATGTAAATCTTAAATTGGGGAAGGCCTGTTCCTAGGGACGTTTTCAGATGCTTAAAGCAATGATATTTTACCTAGCTAAAGTATGTTTCTTCTCAGCAGGTTTTCTTACTTATAAAAGACCATGACTACTGATGAGGGTGCCAAGAACAATGGAGAAAACCCAGCAGCAGCTGTGGCTGAACGTGGAGAGGATATCACCTCTAAAAAAGATAGAGGAGTATTAAAGGTGAGGTTACAAGGATGAATGACATGCAGGGAAATTTGCTATCTGGAAGGATTACATATAAAAACCTGTTTCTTTTGGCTGGAGGTAGAGGTGACTAATGTTTATTGGGGTTTACTAAGTGTTAAACACTGCAGTCAAGTTCATCTGCATGACCCGAGTTTTATTTTATTTTATTTTATTTTTTTTAAGATTTTATTTATTTATTTGACAGACAGATCACAAGTAGGCAGAGAGGCAGGCAGAGAGAGAGGAGAAAGCAGGCTCCCTGCTGAGCAGACAGCCCTATGCGGGGCTTGATCCCAGGACCCTGGGATCATGACCTGAGCCGAAGGCAGAGGCTTTAACCCACTGAGCCACCCAGGCGCCCCAACCCGAGGTTTATTTTTAATCCCAGATTATAGATGGTGAAACTGAGGCCTAGCTGGGTAAATAAAGGCAGGTCTGGGATCTAGATCCAAGTTCTGTGTGACTCTAAAAGGCTGTGTCTCCCAGTTCTCAAGAGTGTACACAAGGGTTATTATTTTAACGTAATATTTAAGTGTATTAAAGCTAGCTGGTGACAATTCGGTTTGAGACGTATTAGAGGAAAATGAAATGCTGACTTGCAGAGTTCAAAAGGGTTTGTTTTTACATACAGATTATTGTTTGTGCAGTGAAGATATTTTTTGAGGTTTCATCAGAGAATATATCTTTTGAATTAGCTTTCCTTGTTAAAACACACTGAATATTTTTCACTCTGTAATTAACCATTTCTACATGTGTGTTTTTGTGTCTCACAATAGTTTTGTGAGACAATGAGCACATCTTGACCATTCCATTTATGGAAGGTGTATATTGGTATTCCATGTAAGTAAATAAAGCGGAGCTGAGAGAGATTAAATGATTTTAGTCATATTAAGTCATTATTTCTCCTACAGTGTTGTTACTCATGCAAGTTTTGTATAATTTTTTTCTTGCTGAACTCTGATATTACCACTAAGCTGAGTTTTAATATCTCCTTGTGTCAGCAGCAGCAAATGAGAATTTCTTAGTTTGTTTTGTCTAATCTTGCTTATATGAAAGCTTTTTTTCTGTGCCTCGATCTTCTAAATATACATGTTTTACTGTTAGCTTGCTATTTGCCAAGGTAAATTTCAGAGTGTTTCAACTCTAGAATGAGGGACTTTATGCCCTAGATTTATATCCTGCTGTCTTTCAGAAGGCCTCTCAACCCATAACTATATGAATCACTTCTCCCAAACTCCAGGATACTTCTGGAGACAGTAGGTATTTTGCAGGCTGTCCTCAGCATCTCCCTGCTCTTTGAGAGTCCTTCTCTTTCATTTTTCAGTGTACCCGTACAAAGAACATAGTCCCCAGTCTGCCTTCAGCCCTGCTTTGTTCCAGGGAGTAAATCTGCTAAGATTTTTAGGCTTGTAAGAAATATTTTGAGATTGTAAGCCCTTTAAATCATATCATTTATTCCTATCTAGAGCCTAGGGTTTCACTGTGGGTCTTTTGGTTAAGATTAAATAGGTCTACTAACTGTGTGACCTAGGGCAATTTAGTTAACCTCTCTGTGTTGAAATTTCCTCATTTGTAATATTGGAACACTGCTTTCTACTTCATACAATTATTGGGATTATATAAAGCATTTGGCACAGTGACTCATCTGTAGTCATCTCCATATATATATATGGAGATTATATATATTATACATATATATATTATATATACATATATACATGTTATACATACATACACATATGCATACATATATACATTTTCAGTATGTGTATGTTTTATTTTGTTTGTTTTTTTTTTAAAGACCAAGGCACGTCTGGGAAATCAGTGACTAGCTCAGGAGGATAAAATTACATTGTGGAGCTTACTTTTTTTTTTTCAAAGATTTTATTTATTTATTTGACAGACAGAGATCACAAGTAGGCAGAGAGGCAGGCAGAGAGAGGGGTGGAGGCAGGCTTCCCGCAGAGCAGAGAGCCCGACGCGGGGCTCGATCCCAGAACCCCGGGATCATGACCCGAGCCGAAGGCAGAGGCTTAACCCACTGAGCCACCCAGGCGCCCCTAGAGCTTACATTTTTAAAACAAATCTAGACTAGATTGTATCCTTAAAGTATCTCCTTAAGGTAACTCTTCACATCTTCCCATTTCTCCCAATCCAGAGCCCCTAGCAACTAACATTCTACTCTCTGGTTTTGTGAGATCAGCTTTTTTAGATTCCATATATATTAGTGAGATCCTACAGGATTTGTTTTTTTCTATTACTTAGCATAATGCTCTCAAGGTCCATCCCTGTTGTCACAGATGGCAAGATTTTATTCTTTTTTATCACTGAATTAACATTCCACTGTGTATATATGTACCACATTTTCTTTATCCATTCATCTATCTGTGGACATTTAGGTTGTTTACATAGCTTAGGCGTTGTGAATAATGCTGCACTGAACATGGGGGTACATATATCTTTTTGATCTAGTGTTTTCCTTTTCCTCAAAGAAATACCCAGAAGTGGAATTGCTGGGATTATATGGTAGTTCTGTTTTTAATTTTTTTGAGGAATCTGCACACTGTTTTCCACAATGGCTATACCGGTTTACATTCCCACCAACAGTACATGAGTGTTCCCTTTTCTCACAACCTTGCCAACACTTATTATCTCTTGTCTTTTTGATCATAGCCATTTGAACAGGTGAGGTGGTATCCTGCAGGTTTGATTTGCATTTCTGTGCTTGTTTCATTTCTTTTTCAGTTCTTTCCTTGCTAGGAGTGTATAAAAACACAACTGATTTCTGTGTGTTGATTTTGTATCCTTCCACTTGACTGAACTCATTGATTCATTCTAACAGGTGTTTGGTGGAGTTGCAGTAATGATTCTTTTCCTTTAAAGAATGTCTGGACTTTTGAACTAAGAAAGTTGTAGAATATAAATTTACAGTGTTTATGTGGTAATATGAGAGTGGGGCTGGGAGGACACATCTTAAGGAATTTCAGAGTGGATAATTGAATTCTTTATATAAAAATTCAGACTCTTCCCCTAAAATGACATTTCTTGGACATGAGCTACCAACCCCTGTTACCTAAAAAAGTGATTAATTTAGCATAGGTGATTGATGGAATAAATTATACCACCACATGCTTGGATTTTCTTTTCTTTTCCCAGAACTGACCAACTGCATTAGTGGTCTGCTCTGCCAAGAACAAAATAAATACACTGAATTTTATGACAGCTAACTGTTTTTCAGCCTGGAGCTTTTTTGGCATTTGTTTTACTAGAAAACAGGTTGTTCAGTATCATATCAAACTATGCAGTGATACTGGTTTTTTTTTTACACGTTAAATAGTCCTCACAAAAGAGGAAGTATAACCTGTTCTATCAGGAAATTGAGCTTTTTGAAATTAAACCAAACTAGTGGAATCTAGTCAAAAGGTAATGTTTTTAGCAAAGGAGGGAAGTAAATAAAATCTCACTGTTGTAATTTTGCTTTGGACTTCTTTTTGAATGGTTTTGAAAGTCCACTAATCTTTTTGATCTAATTTAATTTGTGTATGAACTAGGTCTGTGTTTTGAGAGACTTTAGCATGAAGCAGGATCTCTTGGTTATATTATTAAGTAATTTTGAGGGAATAATTAAATATAGCAATAAAGATTGAGAGTAGTACAGGACAGTTTTCTAACAGCAGGGGTTATTGAGAGAACTGGGAGGGAAGCCTTCAGAAAGGGCATAATTGTCTATAAACCTGCCTGGGTAATGTGGAATGGATTGTGTGACATTTCTATTCTCCAATTATAATGAAATCAGCTCCTTTTTCTTGATGTTTGTCTTTTCTAGATTGTCAAAAGAGTGGGGAATAGTGAGGAAACACCAATGATTGGAGACAAAGTTTATGTCCATTACAAAGGGAAGTTGTCAAATGGAAAGAAGTTTGATTCCAGTCATGATAGAAATGAACCATTTGTCTTTAGTCTTGGCAAAGGTAAGAGGGTATTTTTGAGTTGTGTTTTGCTTGGATTTATTGCCATTTATAACATAGAGGAGCTAGTCAATTCTGTCTAAGAGCTAGTGGATTTTTAGGGGGTCCATAATGTCAAAATTGTTTTCTTAATACTACTAAGATGTTGTTTATCTTTTTGCTGTATTGACACTTGCATGGAAGACACACAAGCTGCAGTGGTAGAGCGGCCAGGGCCCCGGCACAGGTCTAGGCGCAACACTGAGCTCTGCCAGTAATCATTTATGCCTCGCTGCCCTCATTCACTGTGTAAATAAGAAAAAAAAGGGAAGCCAGTTTCACTTAATGTGCTTGATGAAGTGTAAGAAATACTAATTTTATTAAATCCTAATCCTTGAGTTTCACATTGTTTCGCTGCTTTGTAACAGATAGGAAGCACACATTGAGCGCTCCTGCAGACCCAAGTGTAGTGGTTATCTCATGGAGAAGCACTTGTGCACTTAACTTGAGTACATTTTTTCAGAAAGCACCATTTTTATTTGAAAGGGCAAACTTGTTATTTAGACTTGATTATTTAGTATTTGGAAGATACTTTCTTAAAAATGAATGAAGTAAGCCTATCGAAAACTATCGAGTTTTCAAATAAAAATTACGGTTTTGGGAAATGTGTATCTGCCACTCTGACCTTGGCAGCTTTCCAAAACTTAAGGGTTCTGATGAGATCAATGGGTTTTAATGAATGAGATTTTAAAAACATTATATAATGAAATGTGCTAACATTTGGAAGATCTGCGTAACTCAGTGAACCAATATTTTCCCAATACTAGATGTTACAAGATCATGCCTGACTAAAAGATCCATTCATTCATTGTGCAAGCTAGACCAGTGGATTTTAATGTAATATGATATGAAAAGTTCATTGATATGCTTTCACATTCTATACTACAGCTCACCGTTACGAAACCTACCACTAGTCCAGCTTTGATGTCATATCAGATGGTTATATTCATAATTACCTTGAAAGACTATTAAAGTACTCTTACCTTTTCCAACTATTTATCTTTTGGGGTTTGGATTTCTTCCGTAGTCTTAAACCAGAATTGCAACAGGTGAATGCAAAAGTAGGTATGAGGGGGTGCCTGGGTGTCTCAGTGGGTTAAAGCCTCTGCCTTCAGCTCAGGTCATGATCCCAGGGTCCTGGGATTGAGCCCCTCATCGGGCTTTCTGCTCAGCAGGGAGCCTGCTTCCCTTCATCTCTCTCTGCCTGTCTCTCTGTCTACTTGTGATCTCTGTCTGTCAAATAAATAAATAAAATCTTTAAAAAAAAAAAAGTAGGTATGAGAATCTGGTTGTCTTTTATTAAGGTAGACACATTTTACACTTATAAGTTTGTAAAAACAATGCCATCCTCACTAATAATTTTTTTAAAAATATAGTTACTTTTCATAAAAATAACTTGTGTTTACATATAATGAGGTTACTACTATTTTTCAGTGAGTTGGTAAATAATTATTTTCTTTAAATTTCAATGTGGTAATTATCAATAAATAATTAGAAGTTCCTTCAGGTCCTCAATTTTCAAGATTTAAAGAGGGTCCTGAGGAAAAAATGTTGAGAACCACTATTTTCAGGTCTTAAATGTGGTTTATACTAACTATTTTCGAATGCTTTTGAATGTCTTCAGTTAATTTCGGTTGTTTGTTTGTTTTTTTAGTCTTGTAAGGAGAATAGTAGCCCATACATCAAATTAAACTTTATGGGCCATGTGGCTTGTTGAAAGTTAGTGGCTGAATTACCAATGTTTTTTTATTCTTATCTGCTACAGATATAACAGACTTCTAGTTGGTTTCCAGATTAAGTGTGAGAGAAAAGGAGTAATCCCCCTATCTACCACTGTGGCTCTGTGTTGATTATCATCCCTTTCTTCTTTTTTTAAAGATTTTTTATTTATTTATTTGACAGAGATCACAAGTAGGCAGAGAGGCAGGCAGAGAGGAAGGGAAGCAGGCTCCCTGCTGAGCAGAGAGCCAGATGCTAGGCTCCATCCCAGGACCCTGGGATCATGACCTGAGCTGAAGGCAGAGGCTTTAACCCACTGAGCCACCCAGGTGCCCTTCTTCTTCTGATTGTACCATTTTAGATGAATTGTTAATTAAGCATGGATCTGAGAAAGGAAACAGCAAACAGGAACTATGGAGTTAAACTCTTTTTTTTTTTTTTTTAAGATTTTATTCATTTATTTGACAGAGATCATAAGCAGGCAGAGAGGCAGGTGGGAGCGGGGGAAAGCAGGCTCCCTCCCAAGCAGAGAGCTCGATACGGTGCCCGATCCCAGGACTCTGAGATCACGACCCCAGCCAAAGGTGGAGGCTCAACCCACTGAGCCGCCCAGGCACCCCTGGAGTTAAACTCTTTCTGCCCCTCTTATACTCTCCCTTCCCTGGTACTTATAGGCATAGGTCATGGTGACTTCTGCTTCCTGTTCAACTGTATTCTCTCCAAGCTCTGGTGTTGGCTAGGCCACTCCTCCCTTCTCCTTTGGGTCTTGAGTGAGTTAGTGGTCATGTGAGAATGTGAGATTAATCTTGTGTTTCAGTATGATACCAGTCAAAATCAAATAAACATTCCCTTTCTTGATAAAGCAGATAATGATTGACAGTTTAATTAGAATTTGTCTCTTTTTTTGTTGATTTAAGGATGTGAACTTTCAGGGCCACCAGCATGGCTGTGCCATCAGTATTTAATTGAGATGACCTCAGAGTAAATGGCCTCATCAGACACCTTAGACATCTTTCTTCCCACTGTCCTGTCCCCCAAATTCTTACTCTACCCTTTGAATTTCCGTCTTGAAGAAGTTGATGGAGTTAAGATAACATACCTTCTCTCAGCAGCTATCTTTGCAAGTAGATTTAAGAATTGCTAAGAAAGGGACACCTGGGTGGCTCAGTTGGTTAAGCGGCTGCCTTCGGCTCAGGTCATGATCCCAGTGTCCTGGGATTGAGTCCTACATCGGGCTCCTTTCTCGGCGGGGAGCCTGCTTCTCCCTCTGCCTCTGTCTGCCTGTGCTCGCTCACTCTCTCTCCCTCTGTCCCTGACAAATAAATAAATAAAATCTTAAAAAAAAAAAAAAAAGAATTGCTAAGAAAAAAAAATTGCTAGGAATTTATGCTACTATCTTCTCTACCCACATTTTCTTGATAAACTACCCTATGATGAATGAGTCTTTTATGTTTCCTAGAATTTGGAGCTGAGATAAAATAGGCAACTTCCAGTTAACTTGGTACTTACGGCGGCACGCCTCTCTAGAGACACTGTGGTTTCATGGGAAGAGGAGCATCCATCCACCTGGGTGTTCGGAAGCCAGGGCTCCTGTTGTCACTCTTTCTGTGTCATTTTTTTTTTTTAACAGACTCTTTTTTTAAAAAATTTTATTATTTTGACAGAGAGAAAGATCATAAGTAGGCAGAGAGGCAGGCAGAGGGAGAGGGGGAATCAGGCTCCCCGCTGAGCAGTGAGCCCAATGCAGGGCTCAATTCCAGGACCCTGAGATCATGACGTGAACCGAAGGCAGAGGCTTAACCCACTGAATTCAGGCACCCCCTTTCCTGTGTCATTTTAACGCGAGTAAGCCACCTAACCTTCTCTCCTCCTCTAAAAAGGAGACCTCTGGGGCGCCTGGGTGGCTCAGTGGGTTAGGGCCTCTGCCTTCGGCTCAGGTCATGATCTCAGGGTCCTGGGATCGAGCCCCGCGTCGGGCTCTCTGCTTAGCGGGAGCCTGCTTCTCCTCTCTCTCTGCCTGCCTCTCTGCCTACTTGTGATCTCTCTCTCTGTGCCAAATAAATAAATAAAATTTAAAAAAAAAATAAAAATAAAAAGGAGACCTCTGTGGAAAAGCTTGAAGATTAATCCTGGCTATGATTTCATTCTTGGACCTTCTGTAAAGAGTACGGGAGGTACTGTGTAAAAAAAACTGTGTAAAAGACTAAAAACCATAACAATGGCAGAAACTTTAGAGGTCTCCGTTAGATGATAATTAGAAATATGAGAAAAGAGCAATATACTTCTGGTAAATCTTCTGTAGCAGAATGTGTTCAGTTTACTGTAAAGCAAGAAACATGGGTTAGACAGTTTATACTTTTATATCTATATGTTATGGCAATAGCTACTTCACCAAAATGAAGAAAAATACCATAAATGGACAGTAGCATAAATACTCTATATTGAGCTCTCTTGATTCCTTAAAATTCACCTCTCCCAAGGGAATAAATAGAAATATTTCAGTGGAAAGTCACACTGATTTGGAGATTCTGTTGTGATTTCAGTATTTAAAATAGAATTATGGGGTGCCTGGATGGCTCAGTCGTTAAGCATCTGCCTTCAGCCCAGGTCGAGATCCCAAGGTCCTGGGATCGAGGCCCACATCAGGCTCCCTGCTCTGTGGGAAGCCTGTCTCTCCTTCTCCCATGTCCCCTGCTTATGCTCCCTCTCTCTCTCTCTGAGTCTGTCAAATAAATAAATTAAAAAATAAAAAAAAATAGAATTATGAGTGCTTGTCTGTAAAAAATTGCCATAAAAATACACATACCATATATATGTACATTTATGCATCCACATATATTTGAGCTTTACCTACAGGTTGGGTGTCTATGTGTCTATTGCTCTTCCTGTGCTGTCTTTTAAACTCTGTGCCTCACTTCTCTCATTTGTAAAGTCATGATAATGATAATATATACTGTTATACACTGAAGAGTAAGTAAGACATTGCACACCATTGTTTAGCACATAGTAAGCACTCACATGTTTGTTACTGTTGTCACAGTGTTAGGATTATTGGCTTCCTAGTGGAATGGCAGAAACTGTGCCACAGCAGTTTGGGTCCTAACTCTGTTTGCTCTGCCTGCATACAGACTTTGCGAAATAATGCTTAACCATCTTTTTTAGCCCCAGGAAGTCTGGAAAGACAAAAACTGAATCAATCTAAGACAACCAATTATTACTACTTCAGAATATGTTACACAAATTAG